CCCGGCCGCGTCCCCCCCGCCCCCGCGTACCCCCCGAGGTCTACCCGGCTCCCCTCGGGTCGCCTGGCCGCGCCCGCGGCAGCTTTTCCGCGGAGATCCGCAGCCTAGGCCCTGCTCGCCTCTGCCTGCCCCGTTCCTCGTCAGGCTGTCCAAAGTCCGTCCCCACAGAAAACCCCGAGAAGCTGCTCTCGGCCCTGGGCCTGCGCTGCGTTGTCCCGAGCGCCAAGGCCGAAGCAGCTCTCTCCATCCTTCACCCCTGGCGCGGCGCGTCCCCAAATCCTGTCCTTGTGCCCGGGTCGCTTCCCAGGCGCCAGATAACAGAACCAAGCCAAATGGGTAACGCTGACGTTACAAGTGAGGTGTAACGTGCTCCTGAAGACGTCGTGCACCAACCCTTTGTGCCGGCTTTTTTGGGAAGGGTGCCAGGTTTCTCCCCAGTTAACTTCTCCCCAGTTCAACTCCCAGGCTGGGAAGCCACAAAATCCTCGTTACCCCTGTTCAGGTGATGAGAGCTCCCGCTGCTCCGCAGGAGTGGAAACGCCAGGGGCAGTGGCTGTGGGAATCCGTGATGGCAGGATTTGGGGAAGCGAAGCAGCAATCGGGAAATCAAGCGCGCTCGTAGGTCTGTTACCAGTGGCGCTGCCCATCGCATGGGTCGTTCTTTCCAGTAGCCAACTGGTACTGAGCAAGATTCAGCCAAACCCTATCACTGGGGCTAATTGCCATAGAATGTTCCTAACTGTAAAATCCTGACGTGATTTTAATAGCTAAAACCACTGTAAGTTTACATTACTGTTTATTTATTTTCACTGCGATGCATTGATTAATAACAATTTCTAAATTTTAAAACTGCATATGTACAGTGCTTAGGACATTGGAGCCTAATCTTAATTTAGTTCCCCAGGCTCTACTATACTACAAATTGTACAATAGTACAATACAAAATTGTGTTATAGTACAAATTGTATTATTTTATTTGTATTATAATACAAATTGTATTATAGTACACAGTCAATAAGACGACGACTACTGCTACTACTTTGCACAGTCAATAAGAACTTCAACTTGAACCCAGAAATTGTACATATAATTTTACCACCCTTTGCATCATCACTTTAGATATTGTTTATAATTTGAGCTGAAAGCTTCTATGTGCATCATTCATCTTTGCCTGACATTTTTGTTCAGTGTTATGTTTCAGCAAGAATGTGTCAGCCATTTCTGAGAACATAACTAGGCAAAGCTCACGTGAAGCTGGTTGAATTGTAGGAGACATCAGGAAAGAAGCTGAAAAATGGAGAAGTCCAGGTGATATTTTTTGAGATTTTCCGGTCCTAAAAGGCCAAAAAATTGGCAAGATCCTGTGGCTGCTCCGCTGGTGTGAGACTGAAGAGGTGCTTTGAGTGGAGCACCAGGTGACAGCCCTGACGGCGGGAGGGTGCACAGATGCCTTCGCCTCTGTCTCACAACTAGAACTGTTCTCCCTTGGAGACTAACTGGGGCGGGTAGAGCTGTCGTAAACTAACGCAGTGAAGAGGGGGGTGCTGAAGAGGCAAATGGAATATCAACTTAGCTTCAACAAGTCGTAAAGAAAATTGAGATAATGCGATAAGGAAATGTTAAGACAATTTTTCAGTTGTAAAGAATTGAAAAACAAACTCTTTTCCAGTATGTAATTGCCAAGGAGAAAACTTTCAGCATCTACTAAATAAATATAAATATTATCATGTTATTATAAATCAGTGAGACAGATACTGGTTTGAGGCAAAATGATGAAGAAAAAAGCTATGTGGGATTCAGTGATAAAAGACTAAAGAATGAAGGTATAGTTAATACTGCTTTAAAAGTATTAGTGTTCGTTTTCAAGGTTATTAGAATTTGAGTTAATAAATGGAACGGTAAAATGTGGTACTTTTTACACTTTCGTAATACCTTTGACTTAGTACCACAGAGCTTTCTAATTAAACATACCAGAGAGGCACACATTAAACGACTAAGGGCTGATTAGCTGACAGCTCTCCAAAAGCGCTTGTTAAATTTGAATTGGGAGACTTCTGGTGGAGTTCTGTGGTGACCTGTGCTTTGCCCTGCTCGGTACCGTTACTGCTAATCTGGAAGCAGGTACTGAATAATTTATGTTGAAATGTGCCCTTGACACAAATATTGACAGACTTGTAAATAACGCTAAAACCATGGTGATCACGCAAACCATTCTGATGATAGGAGTGTATTAAAACAAAGCATGTTTTAAAGTCAGATTGAAACCGAAGTAAAACTTGAATTAAAGTCATTTTGGTTTTTTTTTTTTTTCTTTAACCAGAACTGGGCCTGGGTTATTACTTTGAAGTCTTTGTTGAAGCCAAACTCAAGCTGAAAAATTCAATGCAATATTTAGAATAGCTGTTTAACACAAGAAGAGCCCACTACTGTGCTAGAGATCTGGCAGGGGCAGAAGAATAAGCACGGGCTATTCTTGGTGCAGGCAGCGAGGCAGAGTGGTGGGAAAGTGCAAGGCAGGTGAGAGGAGGAGGAGGTTGGCTTGAGAATCCCAGCAAAGACGAGGCGGCTTGCATCTGAGAGACGGCCCGGTCAGGGGAGGAGAAAGATTCACTGCTCGTATCTGTTGTCCTCTGAAATCTCCCGCTGCCGCTGAAACTCTTCTGACCCTTCTCATGTACGATTCCGGACACTTCTCCCCTACCCATATCACCCCAACGCACATTGTGAATCCGTTCAAGACTGTTTCGGTGTGCGGAATCTGAGCCCAAATTAGGAAAATACCAGGACCGGGTGAACATGAACCAGAACTCGGTCAAAATATCACTAGTGCGATTCTCTGTTTTTAGTATCGCCAGACCGACTGTTGACCTAGAAGCGAGTTCTAGACTGTATCGTTCAGATGAGTCTGTGCCTCCTGGGACACAGTGGTTCTGCAAAAGATCTAGAGTTTGTGTTGGACAAGCAACTCTCTTTGCTACTGCAGTCCTGTTGCTGAAATGGCCAATGAAGTGATTTTTTAGTACTGGGCTACCAGTCAGTAAATACTAAGTCTACGTTGGGTTTCCATGCTTAAAAAGCGATATTGAAAAATCAAGGGAAAAACCACAGACAATAGCCGTAAAATGATTTAAGAGAAGAGTTTGGCATATGCTCAAGTAAGTAATCAGTGAAAATGCAGGATAGTGCTAGGAGCAGAGCAGAAAGGCTGCGGTTCTCTTTTCTGGGTGGAAAGACCTCCGTAGCTGGGCTACAGCCCGCAAAACTTACTTTCATGAAGCCTTGAAGAGGCCGTGCTTTGCACGAGCCCCGGCCTTGGTTGGTCTCCAATGCGAATGGGGTCCTGGGAATGAGTTAGGGATATGTAGAGAGCTTTTATGCACAGCCTCCTCGTCTTATTTACTGTAGAAATTACAAGTTGTTTGGTTGTTGGCAGCAGAATGTAAAAAGAAAGAACGGTTAAAGAAGCTGAATAAATTTTGAAAACCTGGTTTTATTCCTTGCCACTGTCAAAAATCGTGTGTACTAAAATATTTAGTGTTCCTTGCCTGAAAAATGAGCAGAAATTCTACGCACTCCTAGCTAAAAGCTAATTTTTTGCTACTGTGCTTCTAACATACCATGTGCTAAAAACATGAAACAGCCTAAAATATTAGCACCTATGTCTTTTAATTTAACATGGAAGAGTTATGTTTTATGCTTAATCCATTGGGCATAGAGCTTTAGCTCCCATCTTTAAAAGAGAGTAAGAGCAACAGCTATTCAAGTCAGCATGCTCAAAATAATTTCACTGATACCCTTGAATCATTCACATTCTCTGATAAAAGTAACAAAAAATAATGTAGAAGGGAATCAGTAATTTTCTACTCAGTTGAGGGATTATGGCAGAAAATCCTATGGTAAGAAAGTTTTAGGACACCATTTTGAATAAAAAATCTTTTAATAAATGAACACTAATCCATGAGGCAAGACCCTTGCAGAAAAAATAGTGTGCTATCATATAGCTGTAGTACCATATATGATATATAGTATCATAATATTTATACAGAAGAAGAGAGGGAAATGAATTAAAATCACATCACAGAGTTGATGCTGTCATTTCGCAATTTCTGAGCGTTTGGGCATGTTTTTTAATGTAGCTTGCGGAAGGGGTAATTATAATGGCAATTGTTTTTCTTGTTTGCTACAGCGTTGCTCAGGTGCTGCCTAAAATAGGATCCCATTGTGCTCTGCGTTGCGCAAGCACGCACCAGGGGACAGCCTCAGCTCCAAACAGCTCCTCGTCTAAACAGACAAAACGGACACGGATCAAAGAGCGTATGACGCACAGCGGGATAAACGAACTTGCAGAAATCGCCGTGTAAATGTTGTGACTCCCGTTGGTTTTGGGGTGAAGGATGTCATCAGCAAGGTACTACCGGAAGGAAGGAGCAAGGGCAGGGGGTTTAGGCAAGCGAGAGAAGGCAGAGAAGGGAGACCAGGTAGGGTGGGATCGGAAGTTTGAGCAGAGCGAGAGGAGAAGTTGGAGCAGGCGACCCCTTCGCGTGTCGTACATAAAGAACTTCACTGGAGACATGTGAGTTGGCGGAGTTTAAAAGCGTGGCTTTGAATTTCTTGAGAGCCTCGAGGTTAGCGGCAAGACTGGCCGGGGAGGGTGAAGCAGTTCCTGTTACCTGTTTCATTTTACATTTTACACGTGAAATCTTTGACCGTTTTTACACATCCATCTGTTCAGTGAGGCTTTGGCGGGGTACTCGTTTGAAAGCACTGAAGATCTGGCGGGGAGCGTGAAGGAGTGCCGTATAATCTTTTGTGTGCTGAAACTGTTGATAGTATCGTAGCATTGCGGAGCGCTGTGTCCTGGGCAGTTCATGGAAAAACACTGTACCGGTAGCCACCGAGAAATAAAAACACCTCGAGTCTTCTGAAATCTGCAAACCTTTTCTCCCTATAATATGTTGGGAAAAAGAAATCTTTCCTACATGTTCTTTTGTATTATCATCAGTTATGGTGACTGTGTTCTTTACATTCATTTTGAATCTGTGTTTCCTGTCATGAGCAGATTAAAAACAGAAGAGAGCGGAGTGAAAGTTTTCTATTGCAAACATCTGTGTCTGAAAAAGGATTGTATTTCCATGTCCTGGAACATCAAGGGGAACAGCTTGCCCTCCCCAGACACACACCTTTGGTTTGCAGCAATAAGGACTTTATAGACAAGGTTGCTTTACTACAGTAAATAGAAAACCCAATTCTGCTGTTATTTCTGGTGGTTAATCCAGCCTGGGTGTCTGAGGAGACCTTCGCTCATTGTTCCCAGCAGAGAGCTATCTTATTCTATATCTCTAAAATGCTTAATGTATTTTTGGGTGTAACATAAGCAACGCTTTTAATAACTCCTATCTTTTGTATCTGAAATTCAGCTTTATATGCAAGTATTGCTGTCCGGATAAGTGTTCTTAGGGACTGTCAGCAGAAATGGAGAACGGGCATACTTACCCTCTGTACGTTAAATGAAATCCACAGACAGAAAAAAATGGCTATGTCAACGGACTTCACAAAGGAAAAAGCTAGTGCTGACGTATCATCCATATCTGTCTGCTTTTAAAGAACACAAGTCTGGAAGAGGAGAGGAAAGATGTAAGAAGCGCTGGAGGCCAGATATGCAGTACTTTCTCATGCTTTCTGGTATTCTTACAGGAATTTAGCCCCGGAAAGAAGGAAATTTATTGGTTTAGATGCTGCCCTGAGACCTTCCTAACTCCTACATAAACGCCCTCCTTTTAAAACTTCAATGTACTAATACGCATCAATGCAAATACCACCCAAAATGTATTTCACTGGATTCACGTACTCCCTCAGCCCATCGTACCCAAAGATCTGTTACGCTGTGTGCGATGTTGTCTGGACTGGTTCTTCAGTCACAGTCGTCTTGGGCACGGAGGAGGCTTTTGCTGGTATGCGACAGCGATTCTTCCTTTCTGAAGTGGAAGCACATCTTCAAGTAAGAGTCCATGGGCTAGAGTTTTGCTTTGGGCAGTGTTATTAGTGAGGACGGTCTTCTCTCTCCTAATCATGTCCCCCGTCTGCCAAACCTCCTTCAGCTGTACCCAACCAATGGGGATATTTCCATGCCTGTGAACATATTAAAGACTCTTAAGACTGCAAACAGTATTACTGGAATTAATAGAAAAATGAAGAAAACGTAACAGTTTTAAACAAGCTTGGCAAAATTAAGAAATTGTCTGTTAGGAAAAATGTCAGAAGCGAACAGATTTGGGAAATTTAGGAATAGGTAGGAATTCAGGCAGTCTGAGCCTCTGCTTGGCAGCTCTGGTTGTTCGGTTTAGTAGGAGAACCTCCCCGCTGCCTTTTGGCAAAGGCAATTAGCGTGACGCCTCGCTCGCTTTCTCTGGAGGATATATTGCAGGGTGAACACTTGCCTGTGACTTAAACGCCTGTCCGAGGTTCTCGGAAGAGACTACAAGGAATAATGAAGTGAATCCCTCAACCTGCTTATTGGAATAAGGATCTGGGATAGGATACCGGGAATAAGGATGGAAGAGTGGGGCGCAGAGAGATCTGCTTGCCTAATTCGCATTTAAATCAGGGGTCATTAGACACCAGACGCTTTTGAAAAGTCATTGGTGTAAAACCTATGATTTATTTTTATAAATTGTTCCAGTTCCTAAAAATATGCCCTATTTCCAATCTAAATTAGTCTAATTTCACTTTCCACTTTTAGATTGCATAAACTCATTGCCTTTTAAGCTAAAACACCTTTTACTTTCAGAAATCTTCTCCCTTTATAATCAAAGTATATTTTGTTTTTTTTTTCTTAAAGAAATGGCACGGACTGATTTTTTCCAAAACTGTCATAAAATAAGCTTTACACATTTCAAATTACAATTGTGGCTCCTTAATCTTTTCAGGTTTTCAAGCTCTTCTGTTCAGGATAAGCACCAACATGTGCCACAATACTATTGCTATTCTCAGTATAATTTGTCTGCTTCTACTCAACCGTCTGCTAAAAAAAAAAAATAGAAGTGTTGCTAAGGAAGTTTGCAGATGATGCACGGATTGATAGAACAATAAATAACGTTTATATATCTGAGAATAGTGCTAGCTGCTGCGCCGCACTGAGAGCTCACATGCTTTCTATCTGATCTCTGTCTACCAATTTCAGTGCCGGTGATTTCCACAGTCCCCCGACGTGTAAGGGTGAGGTAGGATTTTTGTTTCCAGGTGTGCGACCTTCCCCATGTATGTGTTTTCAGACAGGTTGCTTGAACGAGTTCCCCTTCCTACCAGAGAACCCAGCTGTATGTAACTGGCTCCCTCAGTCCTGTTTGTCATGCCACCAAGCTGTGCATCATCTGCAGACTTTACTAGCACTGCTTTCGGGTTTTTTTTCTATATGTGGTTAATAAAAATACTAATTGCTAATATGAGATCAGGGGCTTACACCTGTTGAACTGGTAATGATTTAACATCTGTTTAATGTACAGTTCCATATATACTTCACTGGTAATTTTATGAATTTTACGTTAATTTAAAAAATAAGACTGTCACAAAGTACCAAAACAAACACTTTACAATAATGTAGATATGGCACAGCCAAGTGTATTTCTAGACACCAGAAAGACTGAAGCACATAAAATGCAGAGCTGTTATAATTATCTCTAAAAAAATCACTCAGGTGTGTTCGTGTAATATTAAATAACACTCCCAGGTAAAGGTTTATCAATGTTAGGTTTTTTATTTTACCATTTACACGCACATTCATGGCTATGCTCTGACTATTGCGTTCCCATCTGGGGAACGCAGAACGCCTATGGTTTATGGGATACCTGGACTGGATTTGCAGCTGCTTTGTTTCACCAGAGCAATGAAACGTTGCTGAAGTAGACTCTAGCCCCCTTTGCTTTCTGCACTCCAAATTCCGGCTGATTTGTTGTTGCCTCCCACCATTAATTATTCTTCGTACGCGACCCCCTTGTTGGCATTCCCTTAGCCGGGCTTTATCCTGGGAATGTATGAAATTCCCCAGGCTCCACAATCCCGCTCCCCTTGTGCGGCATGCTGGGAGGGTGCCCAGCTGCGCAGAGCACCGGCTTGGCTGGGAGTGACCGCAAACCCTGCCTGCTCTGCCGCCCGATTCTCTTGTGCCACAGACCGAGAGAGCCGGGCCGGCCGCCGCTGCCAAGGCAGCCCGGGGATGGCACGGGCACCAGCTCTGGCTGGGCAGGAGGGCGGCAGCGCCAAGCAGCACCAGCCCCTCTCTCCAACTCTTCTGGCCTCTTGGTGACAGCGGCAGCGACCCATCAGCTCTCCGCAGCTTTTCCCTGAGCCCTCTGCCTCAGCTCCTCACCTTTCCTCGATCTCATGGCAGAAGCGACCCTGTCCCTTCTCCTTTGGGCAGCAAAATACAACTTTGCCCACATTGCTTACAAGCCTGGAGCCGGCCGTCTACACATGTCCGCTTCGCTCTCCATCGCACCTCCAGGGAGGGTGCCCCTGGCTTCCCCTCCAGCGCCGAAGACGAGCACGCTGCCTCCCACCTCCCTCTCAGCTTGTCTGTAGCGAGGATCTGGCACAATAGGTGCTTTCCTCCCAGATGCTTCGTATGAATGGCCATGCTGTTATTTTTTGTAACTAAAAGTTGTTTTGTTGTTGTTATTGTTTTTCCCCCCATGCAGAATTGTTCCCTTTTGGACTGGCCACCATCATCCATTGTTCTCCATGAAACAGAAACTGCCGTTGCCCTCGGGGGAGATGGTGGCTGCCTATACTGTGAGGCATCATAAAACACAGACCCCGTTGGGAACAATGGGGAAAAGCCTTCTCGACGTGGCCACCAGCTGAGGCCTGCCACCGCTCCCGGCGCGTCCAGAGCACTGGGGAGTGGCAGCCATGTTGAGGGCAGGCGGTGGTCCACCGAGCAGCCTCTGGGCCCTGCCTGGGGGGAAAACCAGATGGCATGCAAGAGGAAAAATACCCAGGCAAAACCGGCTTAATTACAAGAAGCCAGTGAAATAAAGTCTTCGTGCAAGGTTACAATGAGTTCCACGGCTGTGGGAGCCAGCAGAGCTTTTAGCCAGTTTTGTAGGGGAGGTTGAAGTCCTTTTTGCTGCTCTCTCCCATTGATGCCTTGACTCCCCCTTAAATACTAAGAGAACAAAATTCTTATTTGACAGTTTTAATAGGAAACAATTTTTGTCACAGAATAATAAGTGTTTCATCTATGAAGTTGTGATATTTTTCCACCCTCCCTTTTCACTGGGCAGCCTCCTGCCTCATGTACTCTTGGGTTGCTGGAGTCTGTGTTTTTTTACCAAGATAGGAGACAAAGAGAGGTCTAATAATGGGTGGTCCATTTTTTTTAAATGCTTGATTTTTAATCTCTAAGCAAATTAA